GAAAGACGGAAATCGTTATACGTTTTTTTGCTTTGCTGAGAGGAGTGCGAAAGTTTGTTGCTATTACACCCTGTATATTATTGAATTTGCTAGAAAATACAAGCGGCACTTCATATTATCTAAAGCCAAATATATAGAAAGGTTTTTGTATCCAACCTCTTAACATTGTTGCAAAGAAAATACCATCCACGAGTATTTATGTTAAAGTCAACTTCCATCAGAATCCAATATAAAAATTATGTTAGGAATGTATAATGCCTCCAAAGAAAAACATTTTAAAATTTTGATGATAAATGAAAATTCCAACTAAGTATTACAGTTTGTTACACGTAAGGTGAAATAGCTCCATCTAGTAACGTACCGTAGACTATTCAGTTATAGTCCGTCCCACTACTGCACATATTTTAAAGTATTCATCAAATAAACATATCAAAATACTGCGTTTTAATTTTATTAGCTAAAACAGTCATGAACTAATATTCCATTGGAAAAAACTTTATTATATTATTTTAAGCACTGCACAATTACTCCAATTCAACATAAATTTTTGGAGATTCCTCTCAATTTTGAAATCCTGTAGTTCTTTATCTTTCTCGTGAAAATCTCTACCTTCAAACTTTTAATAATCATTTCTATGTATACCTATTAATTTACCTGAAAAAATGTGTTTAAAATTTCGCAATAATTTTGCTAAACCATTCTGTAATATAAATAAAAGAAACTGGCTTTAAAATTCCTTGTTATACAAACAAATAAAAATGGTATATTTGTTTCTGAAATATCTTCCAACAACGAAAAAGTTTATCTTTGTCTGAGTATATGGATAGTTGACATATATTTTTGGCCAACTGTTCTGTTGGCCATCTCATTTATATACTACATAATTTTCTAAACAAAATTATACACTCAAACATAATGAAAAAATAAACACAATTTATGTGTCATATAAAACATACACAATCCACCCACCCATACTTGTGTCAACCCATAATTGTACTAATATGGAAAATACATTTATACTTCCATATGAATCCCAATGTTTGATAAATACAACAGACGAATTTAAAGAAATCCGATATTTCTAGGACAACCTGTTTAGAAATGTTCTGTACAGTGTGCTCCTTAATTTGTTTGACAAACTTCTTGTGTTCATTGGCCAAAACAAATATGAGACATTCAAATCAAATAGAGCTAAATTCTGACTCCTTACGATTATGCGTATTATAAAATTCAATATAGTTTGCTGACAGTGTCGTTTTAAACATCTCCAAAACCAGTTAAATCATCAAATTTGGTACACGTTTGACTATTAGTGTCTCACAGTCATACAGACTGTATGCATCTTCTACCAAATCATAGTGGATTTTACGCCACAAACCAATAATTGGATCATCAAATTTGGTAGACGTTTGACTACCAGCGTCTCACAGTTACACAGGGTGTATACATATTCTATCAAATAATAGTGGATTTTACGCCACAAACCAATAAAAGAGTTCTTATAAACATGTATCCGAAAACGCTTCGTTTTCGAGATGCGGTGTGTTGAAATAAAGAAATTAAATGCACTTGTTCAATTTCCAAAATATTTTAAGGGTTCTTAACGGTGGTATTTCGCAGTATCTCAGTCACTGATTGACAGATTTGTTCACTAACTCGCAAATTTTTGTCCATAATAATTATGGACCAATATCCAATTATTGGTTAAGCCATTAGGCCAAGTTGCATCAATCTACATTATAGAGCATCTTTAGAGGTATTTAAATAAATGTGATATATTTTTCAAATTTCAACACCCTGTGTCTTGAAAATAAAGCAAGTTGACACATATATTAATTTTTTTATTCATTTGTGGTGGCGAATCCACCATTAAAACGTGGCAGAGTATGCCATTAACATCCTGTATAAAATTATAAAATAAAATATGTTGACTGGAATCCATTTTCCTTTCTGATAATAGACATCTCGAAAAATAGCACGTCGAAAAATATTGATAATGATCTCAGATATAAATAAATCGTTCTCAAAAACTAAATTTTAAAATTTAATTCAATATTTTCTTGAAAATTATGTCTTTTCTGAAAATATATCAACATCAGTAATAATTTTATTAATTGCAATCCCTGGAATAAATAAAAAAATTCGTCATTTTCCTTTATAGCAACTAATTTTTTCTGCTCTGTCTGGTAAAATGTTCCATCGCTGTAATTCTGATATTAATTATGGGATATAGTCACAAACAGTCCTACCTACCTATTTTAAAGCGTCTTGTGATCGTAGGTATATTTTTGTATTAATAAATAATTGTTTTGAGAGATTATCAGCATTATTTAAATTTAAAGTTGTTGGAAATGATTTAATACGTATCATCATGTAGGGCTTATCTAAAGAATATTGTTTATGCTTTGACGTTGGTACTTTTTAAAAATCTAAATATTTTTTAAAATTTATATAGTAGGTAAGTGGAGCACCTTATACGATAGAATTGGAATGCCCCTGTTACAAGGAATCCGCCTCAAATGGTAGAGTCCTAAAGTATTTTTAGTTATGTTAAATACGCTCATAAAGTACACAATACAGTTATATTGAAATTAAAATGATGGAACAGTGATTAGTAGAAGTGTTATAATTTTTTTCTTTTTCATTAAGGATTTTTCATAGAAAGCTACAAAGTTTAAGTAAACACAGCGTGGATGGAATACATTATTCTAGAAACAGATGAAAAAAATGTTTAAGTTATGAAAAGTCGGATAACCCAGAAAACGTGTGTTGTTTAATTTATTATTTTGAGATGTCAAGGATGATAAAACAAAATAGTAAGACAGAAGATGCAGTGAAAAAATATAAAAAAAAACTGATTTCGATGCCTTCATTATAATGGATCGTCCTATTATACCTATTCAATTTTAAAATCTGTCTCGCAATTACAGGAAGTTGAAAAAACTCGAAATTAGATTCCAAAAATTAAAAAAAATAAATTATTTATTTCTTTATTTTCCATTTCTTTCTATGAGTCTTGATCTTTTAATTACCACAAAATTTTAGAAGGGGACACCTTTTCCGCAACTAGTGAGGCATCTTAGGAAACTGAGAGAAGATGACCTAGTGCAACATTTAAGAAAAATGTTTAACTTTGTGTTATGAATTGTCATTTCCAACAAGAGTGTATTTGATGTAAGAAGTATAAAGTATTGATATAAGAAGTAAAGCCAAAAATGTGAAAATGAGAACTAGTTTAGAAGATATTGAAATATTGGCCATATCATTTTCAAACTGTGATACTTCCGTAAAGCGGTACAGGATTTTTTGTACACACACATCCATGCTGCAGCTGCAGTGATCAATGCAGCGACTTCTTATTATATAGTTTCGTATGCCACTCGTTTGGTCGCGTATAATAAATTTTACCTTAACAGTGGGAATTCCTATACGCATTATATGTACGCGTCAAAACCATGGCATGCAAAACTATGCCATAAACAGTCGTTGCATTGAAGACCTAAGCCTTAAGACGTCGGAGCATGCTGAGCATGCGTAAGGCATAATTCGCATGCCATGCGACTGACGCGGCCTGCTGAAGCATGTAGGAAGACCCATCCTAAGGAGTCAGGATTGATCTCTAGTTTATTTTGAGTTAATTTTGACTAAGAAATAATCTGAAAAAGTTTGCCAAAAGGATAAAGGGACATCCTGTATAGGTATATGTACAGTGTGACACATTTCAAATGGAAACAGCCTTGTAAAAAATTTATTTATTGACCGATTTATGTCAGTTTTTTTTTAAATAGAGCATACAAAATTCTATTACATCGTATAAATTATGAAACACTTTCAGTTACGAAAGCATACTTTCTGTTTTGTTCGGTGTCAAAAACTGGTTATAGATTTTTTTTTTAAATCTGACTGCTCCACTGAATTCTGCACCTCTCCAATTTGTCCAAATTTCTTGAAAAAATATTAATTGCTCTTTGTAAATTTAATTTTAAAGATTTTATTAATTTCTTCTTCCTAAACGGGATAGAATTATAAATAAATTACCTAAATCAACAAATAAAATACTCAATGTGTTTTTCTTAAATGATCAGTTCCAAATAAAAAATAATAATAATTTAAGATTACGGTTCTATTCTTGTGGTGTTCATGGTTTATGTCATTATTTTTCTATTTTTTGTACATAACTATAATCGTTCATCGATTCAAGTTAAAAATTAACGTTTAATTTTGAATACACAAATTAAAAAAAAAATCATGTCAGTAAACATATTAGCTTGTGTTTAATAATTTATTGCGATTCCATAGGTTGATTATCCTGTTTAGGAAGAATAGAAATGACAAAACCTTTAATATTAATTTTACAATTAGTAATAAATATTTTTTCTCATAATTTGATACAAATTACATTGAGTGGTGCAGACAGATTTTAAATAAAACCATCATTAATCAATTTTCGTTAAGTTTGAAAAAAAAAATAAAAGTAGGCTTTGGTAACTGAAAATAAATTCAAAACATATTTGATTTAATATACTTTTTTAAGCTTCATCTTCAATAAATAAATAAATAAATAAATCGGTCAATAAGAACATTTATTACAAGGAAGTTTCCATTTGAAATGGGTATATGTACAATTCAACTGTTATTGCTGATTCTAAAAAATTACAAAATGAAATATACTTACACTTTGGTTTTCATTTTTTCCAACAAATATATCTAAACCATCTACAATATTAAAAATGCTCTATTATGTACAAAATGTAAAGACGGGAAATGATAGACTAAGTAAATTAGGCATCAAATGACTGAAGAACTAAAAACAATATGTATCTATTTGGAGGCTGATTCAAATCAAAACCGTAACAGTTCCCCGCTATTTAACATTAAAATAAATCATTGCTGTGTCACAATTCACGTTTACATAGCGAGTAATGCTTTATATTGTCGGCGTTTCATTTCTCATTAATATATAAACAGTACTTTTTCTACACATTGAGCTGCACTCACTTTTATAGAGCCGTGAGTCCGTAGTCTGACTTAATAACCGGTTGAGGCGTGCTCTGGACTGGTCCGCATCCTGGCGAGGACGAGAGGGGGGTGAGCGTAGGGCCTAGGGATCCTATGTGCATGCTGGGATCTCCATGCAACATTCCTGCGTGGTGCAGGGTTGTGGGAGGCATGGGATGAGCGTGTGAATGTCCTCCCATCGAAGAAGGGATCTGATGGCCAGACAGAGACATGTCCAACATATTTTCGCCAAGTCCGTCCATTTCTCTGTTGTTGTTTTTCCGTTTATCATTGTTATTTGCGGGAGTGCTGTTCTGTGTTTTCCCTCGAACTTTACCCCCAGACTTGGCATTTGATGTGGTCGTGGTGGTGACCCCAGCGGGATTCGTTTTTCTCCTAACGTTCTTCGTGTTGGGTAATTTGTTATCTTTCTTCCACTTCATTCTGCGATTTTGAAACCAGATTTTAATTTGTCTCTCTGAAAGCACTAAAGTGTGTGCTATTTCTATACGTCGCCTTCTGGTCAAGTATCTGTTGTAATGAAATTCCTTTTCCAATTCTAAGATTTGATGGCGAGTGTACGCTGTTCGTTGTCTTTTCGGTTCCATGCCCGGTGCGAAAGCTCCAGTTGCTGTAACAAAAAATGCGTATTAAATTATTGAAAAATTTCAATTGTTTATAATTGTTATTAATAGACAATAGTTAATTCAGAAGAGGTCCTTATATCCGGATGTTTTGTTTATGAACAAAATTACAATTACATAAATGTGTAATAAACCGAGAACTGAATTTCTGGCAATATTTGACTGATCTTTTATTGCAAAGGTTTGATTCGTTCAAGCAGCAAAAATGCCTTCTTGCCTGAATAAGAAAAAAAATTAAAATATGTCACAGTTAAACAATTTAATATGTGTCCGGAAATGTCTTGTTAAAAATGAAGGGGTATACAGGGGAGGTCAAAATAGTTGTAGTACTTCATATTTTTTTTTCCTATCTTGCTTCGCCTTTAAAGAAAGAAGTTTGAAAAATAAATTCCAATATATGAAATTTGAGCAATTAAAGTAACTCATGGTAATGTTCATTTCAAAGTTTAAACTGATATTCAATATGACTGGATTATACAGGAGCAGACGAAATTATCCCTTTAAATTCTTCGACAGCGTTGCCATGTTTGACATTTTTATTTCACAGTTGGATTCCTCTCTCACGCTAAAAAAAGGTATACTCTATATCAGTCGTTTTTGTGAAAATCGAATTTTATAAACAACATACATTTATTGTATCAAAAATGTGATACTAACATTTTTATAAAAATCTTGGTTTCTATAGAATTAAAAGAAAAAAGAGAACCTGCACGTTTAACTTGAATGCATTTTTTAAAATTGCTCAAAGACCTCTGCTGTGCTCGAAATAACATGTGGGATGTGGATGTGTGGATGATTTTGGTGTATGTAATTACGCGATTTAATAATAATTCTTCTCTACTATTTACAGGAGTTTTAGGAAAAAAATCGAGAGGATTAAGATCGGAAGACCGAGGCGGCAACGGAAAAGGACTATACCTCGACCGATCATCGATCGGGAAATGCGGTATTTAAATAATCCCTTACTGCCCTGCTGTCTGTGAAGGCCAAAAAGGTACTACTAATATGCCTTCTACTTGCTCTGCAATTATCTTTTGTAAAGTTATTAATATAAGAGAAAATGGGGGAAATGCATAAAAATATTCCCTTTTCCATGACATTGTAAAAGCGTCCACCCCTTGAGAATCTGGATCTTTTCTCCAAAAAAAAAAAATAACGCTCATTTTTGTGGCAAAGAGATCAATATCGGCTCTTCGATGAATTAAAAAAATATCCAGATCGCTTTTTTGAGTATATGAGGATGGACTTAACGACATATAATTATATAAATTAGTGCTCATTTAAACAAAAATTGGAGCAATTTTAATAAAATGCCCGTTGAACCCGAGGAACGATTAGACATTTTTTTAAGAAAACATTTGCTCAATCGATTTCTATGCATCTTAAACGCCAAGTAGAAAATATCGCTTCGATAGCACATACAGGGCGTTTGTTATGGAAATTACCATTTCTAATAAATAATAATTTTTTAATGTCCTGTATAGGTAGCTATACATCTTTATTGCAACCTAGTTGAAATGTGATACTAACATTTTTATAAAAATCTTGGTTTCTATGGAATTGAAAGAAAAAAGAGAACCTGCACGTTTAACTTCAATGCGTTTTCTGAAATTGTTCAAACACCTCTGCTGTGCTCTAAATAATATGTGGTGATCATTACTAATAATTTTGTTGTATGTAATTACGCTATTTAATAATAATTCTTCTCTACTATTTACAGGAGTTTTAAGAACAAAATCGAGAGGATTAAGATCGGAAGACCTAGGCGGCAACGGAAAAGAACTATACCTCGACCGATTATCGATCGGGAAATATGGTATTTAAATAACCCCTTACTGCCCTACTAAAATGGGGTGGTGCACAATCGGGCATAAGCGGTTAGCGTAAATTCGAACAGCTTCAGAATTTCTATAAATTCGTACATTGGATGAATATCTGAAAATTATTCGTAGCTAAACTCCTCCATGATATTGAATCAACAAATGGTGTCACAATGATTTATGACAAATATTTAACTGCTAATTATACATACTTGTTGACAGTCATCTCAATTAATGGAAATATAGAAACAAAGATTTTTTACAGAAATGTTAATATAACATTTGTGATATAATGTGTTGTTATTACAATTCGATGTTCTCAAAAGCGGTACAAGATATCGGTATACGGTATACCTTTTTTAGCAAAGTGAGAGAGGAACGCTATCAAAGATGTATAAATTTAAATGGATAATTTCGCCTGCTCTTCTTTAATCAAGGCATTTTGAATATTAGTTTAAACCTGGAAATGAACGACTTAGCAATTATAATTGGAATTTGTTTTTCAAACTTCTTTCTTTGAAGGCGAATAACTCCACAACGAAACCTGACAGGAAAAAATTTTTTATGGAGAACTACAACTATTTAAACTTCCCCTGTATATATTTTTGACATGACCTTTCCGAACACCCTGTATAGGACGGGAATAGATATGTATCCTCCTTAATGAATATAACCTAACTCGATAGGTTTAATAACAATTAGGTATACTTGCATAAGTATGGAATTCCCAAAATTGTTGTTAAAATTAACAATTAAACTGTACCTATTCAAATCATTCCACTTCCGATCTCCATAGCAATTTTCTCCTAAAGAAATAGAGAAATGCACGAATAAAAGAAAATATAATGATAAAAGTCATAAATATAATATTTAGAAAATAATTACTATTACCATTTTCAAAAGGTATACTTAATATTGTATTACATTAATCAAACTTTACTTAATGATACCAAATAAGAAAAACCTTCAAAAGATATTGGTTAGAAAATGCTATGTATGCAAGATATAGAATGTAATTTTTAAATTTCTGATTTTTTCATAAAAAGTGGAGTGCCTTTAGTGCTTTGTTAGCACTTTTTTTGTTTAAGGATTAATTGATTTTCTTTTATTTGAAAGTCAGCTTCCAAAATATTGAGAAATGTCATTCGTTAGTACGTAGCTCTACGATTGTTTTCATTAGTGTTATCGTACGTTGACTATTTTTTATATTTCAATGCCAGCCCCCAAAATGTTAATATCTAAACGAATTTCATGTAATTCATACAGTGCTCCATTAGTACTTCTTATTGAATTAATTGTAAGTAGTTCTTTAGTTTAAGCACTTATTTATTTTTTTATTGCAAGGTCTACCCCCAGTGTTTCGGATTCAAAGGATTTTTATATCGTTCGTTAATGTTTTGGTAATGCTTAATTTTTGTTAATACATCTTTAATTCAAACAATATTTTTTCTTTGTATGTCAAGTTAACTTTCAAAGTGCTCCGGATTTAAACAAATTTAATGTCCCCCGTTGCAGTTTCGCTAGTGCTTCGATCTCTTTGGTTAGTGCTTGGCTTAGCTTTCGAGTTTTGATTTATTCTTTATTCTCCAAAATGTTAGCCCCCAAAATGTTTCAGATTTAAATGAATTTTACGTCATGTGTTGTTTTAGTACCAACAATATGTGATTTCTCAAAAAGTTATCAAAATCGAAACAAAATTGTTGTCATTCATTGCGGCTTAGTTCGCTCTCAAGATACTTTTTTACTTGAATGCCTAACTGCTAAGTATCAAAATTAAATTAGTGTTATTCGTGTGTCCAATTTTGAAAACATTGGAAACTCACCTTGCAATTAAAAGAGTCAAATATTGCTGAACCAAAGGTGCCCTAACATGAACAATTTTATTAATGCACGAATGACATCAAATTCCTTTAGATCTGAAACATTTTGTGGGCTGACTTGGAATAGAACAATCAATTTTAAATAGCTAAGAAAGCACTAATGAAAACAATTGAGGCACTAAGAAGCAGTAACGAATGAATCAATTTTGTTTCGACTGTGAATATTTTGGCTTTCAAATAAAAGGAAATCAATTATTTCTGAATCTAAAGAAACATAAACGAAAATAAATGAAACACTAAAAACAGTAACGGCTTCACGGACCTGTTTTTTATTAGATTCAAAACGGCTATAGATAAGCAACTGAAAATATCAAAATGAAACAAGACAAAGGCACTCATTCCAGAGCAGGTATAACTGAAGGATAGATAGTACAACCAGTTTTGACCCAACTTTATTGGTGTGACTTTTCTTGCATTATCTAAGATGAAAACTTAAAAAAATTTAGATGTGTCCAATTTAGATTTTGCTTTGTTGGTTGTTAAAATGAGGAAAACAAAATTGATTACATTACTTTTATTCAGCAACATTTGTTTAATATGACATTTTTTTATAAAAATTATCCAGATTTTAATGTTCCAATCTTAAATACCTCAAAAATGTTGCATCACGAAGTATGAGGAAAAATTGAAAAATTCTCACCTTCAACTTAAAACTAAATGGAAGTTTTTTAAAATAGGGAATACTTGTTATGTTGCATTTGTTTATTGGCAATTAGGGAATATTTTTTCCCAAAGTATGAAACTTTTAACATTGTGTACTAAATAGCAGTAATCCAAAGTGAGCGTTGTTTTACATTTTTAAAAACTACAATGAGACAAAAAAGAAGCGTTTTATCTAAAACCTGCTTTAAAGAAAAAATATAAAGTTTATAAGTTTTAAGAATAGACAATACTGTTGTTTTGCTTATTAGTAAACGCACCAGAAATTTGTGAAAATTATTACATAAACCGTTTTACATCTAATTTATCTATGAATACAAATTTACTGGTGGGTTACTTTGTATTCTTCTTATTTGTCTAATTAGGTACTGTATATACCGCTGTAGTTTTGCATAATTTAATATGATTATAATATTTAATAACTAATCACTCATATTTTTTCGGAAAGCTTGAAATACCTAACTGTTACTGCCGGAAGATTCAAGTATGCGAAATATCAATAATAGGTAAGACTTCCGGTCTCTTATAGATCAAGAAATTGCTCTAATAAGTTACTTGACGTGAACTTTTGTTGTAAATATGAAAGCAGTGCAATTTAATATAGGTACCTATTAGAGGCAATGTACA